CGCTGTGCTACTGGGGGGCAGCATTGAACCATTACTACCATATCTGGTTTAAATGCTCTTTCAACCGCTACATATTATACTAGTAGCAACGTATTACTTATATCTTCCTGTTTAGAACATATAAAATGCAGAAATCTTTTGTTTTTACATGACATGTAAATATGAAACATTGTATTTTAATTTTATATTAGATTTTTAAACATTAATTAAGTAGGACTGATTTCTGGCTTATGAAAATATAGAGAAATTCATAATTTATCCTATAAAAATATGTTAAATCTACTAAGCGTCCAAAAATATTTTCAATAAATATAAAGATATATGACTTTATTTTTCGCACCAAAACCTAAGATCTCTTTCTTAACTTCCACTTCCCATTTTCTTGTTCAAATAACGTTGTTCCCTATCAATCGATTGAGCTCACAAGACCCGGATTACAAAACACTTCATCTTATGTCTCTCAATCTGTTGCAGTGTAGTTTTCTAAATGATTTCCAAGCACGATGTCGCATCGATTGCCGAGCACATCCCACCTGTATCTTATTGAATGTACGACAATATATTTCATAGCACATTAATGAGTTTTATGTTGATTTCTTGAAAATGTTTTACTTTTAACATCGTAACGTTTGAGAGAATACAAGGATTTTTTAAAAGAAGCAATATCAGTTTAAGTTTTTTGTTAAAGAAAAACTCAGGGCATTATTACCAATTTTTTTGTGATGCGTAATGTTTGACCATATGATAAGTAATATGAATGACATGTAACCCCTAAGTTCATGCAACTAATAATATAACGGCTTTTACACATGTGTTTGTCTTCTTTGCAGGAATTTAGAATAAAACCTTAACGACACTTCATTTTACAAAATGTCAAACAATGTATTAAACAATAACAATCTAAGACCTCCATTGCAATATGAAACAATGTATTAAACAATAACAATTTGAGGCCTCTATTGTAATGACCAAAAATTTATTAAACAAATAACAATCTGAGGCCTCTAGTCCGCTAAGCAGTTAGTATTCATTATACTCATTATATGCCTGTAATTAATAATATATATATATTATGTGAATAATCCAGTCAAGGAATGTAAATTAGCAAAATATTCTCCTACTTCTCTTTGTTATTATACATATATATATATTATTATTTTTAACAACAAAAGTAACTTGCTTTGAGCTAGTAGTGATTGCAATCTACAGTTTACTTTTACGTTATTGAACTTCATTTTTTAAAGCTTTGGAAATGTGTTTCATATTATAACTCACTAACAGTTTCAGCAAACCTATTACAAAGTAGCGTTTTTGTTGTTGTTGTTGTTAAGCGCAAATATATACAATGAGCTACCTGTGCTGGGCTCACCAAGGGTATCGAAATCCGAGTTTTAGCGTTATAAGCCTTCAGACTTACCGCTAAGGCACTGATGGGCAGTTATCTGTGAGCCTACTAAAAATATTCTTCAAATCATTTTATTCATTTGAA